ATAAGGAAGAAGTAGAGGAGGATACTTACTATTAATGACTGGTCGATTATTAGCTAGGAGAGACTCTATATAGTCATAGATAAGATCCACTCGCTCGCTAGTACCAAGGATAAGGTTATTATGGTTACCTTTAAGGACAGCGTGAAGTGCGAGTCGTGGGCTAAGAAACCTTAGTAACCTTAGCAATGTGTTCGTCATCGCGACTCTCCTACGCTATCACTAAATACGGGGCTTTGAAGTTCGCCGAATATAGAGAATCTCCCAGGGCATGCCCGAGTAATAACTTAGCAGAGGAAGGAGCGAGGCCACTGCTTTATCGTCCCATCCTTATCAGGACGTCTTCATTATAAAATTAAACGCGCGTCGATAGAGCCGTGGGCACATACTATGTTGTGCCAAAAACAGCAGGCACGTCGAAAGCTGTCCGCTGTGTGTGCAATATGGCGTGGCACTATATTCAACATTTAGTAGGCCGGTCCTGGTTTCCAGTTCATGGATAGCAAGTGCCGTGAGGGCTTCGTTTCGGGATCAAGAAAGCGGGCACTCCCACAGATCCACCAGCAGAAGACTAGCCTGCCTGTCCGGGCATTCACAGTTTCTAGATACGGATTTATAGCATCAATACAGCAGAGAAGTGTGAGTCGCGCAGAATCACCCATACGACAGTGCTTAAGTCGTTCTCTAGGATGTCGATAAGAGAGCACCCCGACGAGGCCATTACTCGAGCCAGTGTAGAGCTTTCCAAAGCAAGCCTATGTATTCAAAATTGTCGTACATCAATTCTCCAGTTGCACACCATCCGAAAAGAAGAGAAAAGATGTAGAATGCAAGTAGACCGAGAGAACCAACGCCTTCGCGTCCTTTGCCAGGAGGTTGTGCACGACCGCAACGAGATCGCCAGCAAATGCCGAAGCCTATACCGCGAGCTAGGATGTGCCTATACGGAGATTCTCTCTCACTACGCCTTGTCTGAGAATTCGGATCTAAGGCGTGGCGGCTCCGGCAGAAACGACTTGGCCATTTCTGCTATAGCCCGACTCTTCCTCCTGATCATGACCTTCTCGTTCCTAAGTCGAGGTGGGGTTGCAAAGCTGGCTCTCGCGAGCTTGGTGCCGGCGCTGGCTGTCTCCAGGTCTTCCAGGAGGACATTTCTTGCAGTTGGGCGCAGAAGCTAGGTATGTTGCATTAGTCGACTCTATTAGACTAAGAACGCTCAAACACGACTTACCAAGGTCTCTAAGTCTGCCGGAGGAAAGTCTCTCCGCGAGCGGTAGCTATAGAGCTCTTTAGTGGTTGGGTTCATCACGAACAGCGCTACGTCGCTACCAAGTTTGGCATACGCGTGAACTTTGCTTTCCAGGCCATGAAGTCTCCTTCTTAGTTGCTTTTTGGGGTTCTTCACGTCTTTCAGGGCCATGTTTGCATCTGTTACCCGGCTCGAAGTGGGCAGCGTCCGCTTTTTAGTCCAAGGGGGAGGAAGCTTGCAGGCTGGAGAGCAAAGACATTGCTGTGTCATTCCGCGCTCCTCAGGACGAAGTGCTGGTCAAGTTGCTGGCTAACAGCGAGACTGAGAATCTGGACATGGTTGGTGAGGATCCTAGATAGACTAGAATAGTCAAGCTAAAGGTACTAACTACTTATATTAGCTATTAATAGCTCTTGGGTAATAAGAGGTTCCTAGTATATAGGCTACCTATTCTAAGGAGTAGGTTTTAGCTACTAAGGCCGTAGAGAAGATTTACTATACTCTTATAAGAGGTCTATTCTGCTGAGCCATGACCGTACTGAGTCGGTATCACTGAGTCGATATCTTACTGAGCCATGATCTTACTGAGCCATGATCTTACCGAGGCGTAGTCTAAGTTTACTAAAAATAGCCAGCGAAGCAGTCTCTATCCAGCCTGATCGGTCTATGTCGAATCCTCGCTTTCGGTTAGAATGATGCTACTTTTAGATTGCGTGATTGTATCTAAGCAATCGTCGTGCTGAGCTTTGAAGTAGGGTGAACATACAACCACACTCTTCTCGATACCAATCCGCAACCATGTGGCCTGTCGTCTGAATCTCCCCAACAACTCCTTCTCGTCGTGGGAGTAAGTGGAGAAGTTGTTTCGAGACTCTTCACAATCTTTAGCTTACCATGTCTGTCACCTCTGATTCTGGCAGCATGGTTTGTAGATCGTGAATCTCATCATGTGTTCTTTGTGCTTCATTTATATACGTCCTCGACTCATCCGCCTTTTCCAGCGGTTCTATCGTCTGGCTCTACGTCGCAGTGTGCCAAGTAATCGTACTCACCTCCTACTGGGCGAAAAATACGTGCTGCTCAAAAAATGTCAATTTTGAACTCCAACCATACCTAAAATGAGTAAGTTCATCCATCCCGAAGCCACAGTCCCTTAGCTCCACACCGTCTTATAGTCCTCCACTCGGGTTTTAACCTGGAGGTGAGATGAGATTTCAAACAGTCGGTTGAATATGGGGGTATTGGAGATCAGAAAGGTCAAAAAACGATCCAAAATCCCCTAAAACACCTGATCGTGGTTTTAGAGGTGGGTGAAATAGGTGAGTTTTGGTGAGGGCCTGAGAGGCGATCCACGACTTTTGCAGACCCCTGTTGACTGGAAGGTCGGCTTGGTTTCCAATTCGCTCCCCAGAACTAGCCTTAAAGCCGGGTTAGATCTGATGTCTCCAAAGCGGATCGAGTCGTACGTAATGGCTGCTGCAATATTTACTCAATTTTAGTGATGTGTACTAGTTCCTATTCTATGTTCACCCTTCACGCAAGGCCCATAATCGACCTTGCGCGATGACATTGGCGCCCTTGTCGAGCAGCAGCTTGACAGTCTGCTGGTGGCCTTCATCTGAAGCTGCCTGGACGCTGGAGCTAAGTAAAAGCGTCACAGCCATAACCAGGTGACCCCTTCTTTGGTGAACTTGCCTAGTGAAGCTTTGTAACCAATAGCACTACTTTCGTTATCGTGCGGCTTTTCAAAACACTTGGGTGACCGCCGGGGATTTCATTACTAAGCGCTATTGAAGGATCATGCCTGATACTTTTAGGAGGATCAAGCTCCAGTCATTCACAGGGCATGACAAATCCTGACTTGCATTGGATACCGGAGATAAGATTAGCGACGCCCAGCAGAGCGCTTGAGCAGCTAGGCGCAGACTCATGCTTCGTCTAAGTTAGAACCGTTCAGATCGATACTTCGAACGACGAGTACAGCGATTGCAAGCCTTGAAGGCAGGGATACCAGCATATCAATGCGAAAGTCTTTAGACTCGAAGGGTAGGCTACAACAGTTTTGGATAACAGTACATTGCTGAGATATAGATGGTCAAGTAATAGGTCCAGCTTCATGAAATGACTCTCATGGCATAATGCCAGCAGCAGCCCCCTGAGCCCACCTCGCCTCACCATCACCCTTGCGCAAGGACTTTGAAGCTTCAATCACGAGTCAACAACTCCTACTTATCCGTATTCCACCACCAGGGTTCGGAAAACACATCCCACTGTGCTGGGGTCCTCTCTGGCAGGTCTGGTTCACAGTCCCAAAACTTAAGGACGCTATTTTCACTCATCGACCAAACCCTCTCTGATATGTTGCCAACACTGGCGTTATCGACCGGTAGCCCGCTATCTACATGGGCCGCGTCACGATTGTCAAGTCGCTCCTGATCTGGAGGCAAGCCTGTGTGATTGGCCTGGTCAGGATTCTCAGTGAGAGACACCTCTTCCTGACCGCCGATCAAGGTAATTTCGACCACAGCACGTCCCCGGTATGGTAGCAACAATGTGGCTATAGTCACTGCATATTGAGACCTCGTGAGGCGTGGCGCGTCGATGATCCATGGGACAGTATGCTTCGTATTTAATGTTTTCGTGCTCTTGGCGTCCATTAAGAGCTGCAGTACGGGGCGGGCTCGGGGGTTGGTCAGTCTTGTTGACATCGTAAGGCCTCCGGATCCGTTCTCCCACCAGACGTTGGTAGAGCTTCTTAGTGCGCCCTATCATACTAATAAGAGAAGAGAAAAAGAGGTTGCCTGGGATAAGTCAGAACAAGGAGACTGCCAGTTTGAGCAATACTTACCACTCATTTTTGCCGGGCGATATGCTATAGTGTGAGTCTAGGTGTCGGTAATTGCGTGAGGTAGTTAGTAGAAAGTAACGAGTATGATAGCAGATTTCTATACCTGTGTGGCTATCTGAGTATAGTTTGTTCATCAAGTCCGATGTCCATGGCGTCCATCCTGGAAAGATCATCAGTGAGGGATTCGTTCTATGTTAACTTTGGTATCACGCCGAACAGTTGCTAGCGCCAATTTGACTTCCTAGCCAGGGGGGGCTGTGACGGAACAACTTGACTTGCATACTTAGTGCATCAATCTACAGGCAAGTAGCCGTATGATCAAGGTATCTAGAGTCCGGACTGCACGCCTCCAGAGTCATACAATTGCCTTTCCCCCCTACTGTCTCGTCCTCCAAGCGCAGATTCCCAGCGCTACTCAGCAGTTACCTTCTTTCCAACTTTGCCCCCTTCGAGTCCTCTCAATGGCAATCTCCTCCCCGATTACATCCTCCAACTTCGAACATTCTGCGATAATATTAGCATTACGGCTTGTCGCCAAATGCTTTAATACTATCCAATCTGTTCGTTCAGCGCATAGATGTTGTGTATTCAAAGACTAACACGGCCATAGTCTGTCGGAGATGCATTCCTCAAAGCAGCTCATGAAATCGAGCCTTCACGAGGCGAGGAAGAGATGCTCAATGCTTTTCGCAAGTTATCATTAACTATTAGAACACCTCGAGGGCCTGCGGTGTCATTGGACAAACGAAGCAAGACATGTCGAAGTCTCGCAGGCAATAATAAATCCACAGCTAGGGTCTCACGTAGCAGTGGCCTGATATCAAGCATTACTGCTCCTACTAACCATGGCCCAACGAAGGAGGCAACAGTCGGTAGACGAAGCCATGGCAACATTCCAGTGACTATTATTCCTCCTATCGACCATTCCCGGACGGGAGAGGCTGTCGACCATAGTCCGACGGACGGAGCTCCAGTCGGTAGACAGATGGGCCAGACACAAAGTTACGACAGTGACCCGCTACGGAATGCTAGTAATGCTCAGCTTGAAAAACAAAGTGACATATCCAGCGGTAGCATCACCGGGGAAACTGCTGTCAGCAGACTCGAGGCCTTGATCAAAGACCATAAACCCGTCAAAACATCCCTCACCAAGGGCGCGATCGACAGACTGGTGAAGATTGTCAGAAAGATGTCTATCCAGAATCTGCCAGAGACCACAATGCCTCACATGAGACCGCCCGAATCCGTCAAAGAATTATGGGAGCAATACAAGCAATTCGACCGCCAGTGTATGGAAAGGCGTCGGGTGTTCCAAATGGCGCTGACATACTGTTGGGTCAGAGAAATAGAGAGGCGTCCAACGCGAACGGATAATGAAAAGATCCTCGAGGAAATCGCCTTGAACGTGGGGATCCCGAAAGAAGACACCAAGGAGATGTACGGACTGTATGCCTGTGGTGTCACGCTATTGAGTCTACAACCAAGGGTGTGGATCATGACAGCGGGTATGAAGCTGGATTCGTAGTATGTGTAGTCCAGCCCTTATATGTACATAATGCTGACACAGAAGAGCTTCACCAGATTAAGCGCCGAGGCCACAACAGTTCTCCATAAGTATATAGACACATACTGGGGGAACTCAGTCGAGCTTGACCGTACCGTCGTCGAAAGAGTTCGAGAGATTGTTCCTATCATACCTGAATTTGATAGCTGTGCCTCGACTTATTACAAGCAAGCATTAGCACGCTCGCCGCTACCCTTGACTATTAAAGAAAGACACGGACACTCCACTATGAGTCCAACAACTATATCGAGTCGACAGTCGAGTGCGCGCCCATATTCATCAAATCTATCCGCAAGTACATTTTCGGGTGCGGATTCGAACAGTGTCGATCATTACGATCACAAAAATGCAGGTTCTAGGAAGCGGTGGATATCAGAAGGCCAAGACCAACAGAAGCGGAAGCGTTTGCTCGCCAATCAAGACACTCCTATCATATTGGAGCACACAACTACATCCCCACAGAGCTCGAATGGACTAATTCCGGAAGTTATTGCAAACGACCCCACAATCCTCGCAACCACACCATCGCAGATATCTCCCGAAGTCCTAGACCGCAATCAAGCTCAACAGGCGACAAACTTAGGGCTAACGACAGACTCGGACATGCGGGAAGACGTGATTATCCAGAATAACTCGCTCGTCCTACGAGACAACTACAACCATTTCCCATCGCTCGATGGTTTCGGACAGAGTTTCACGGCGATGACCCAGGATGTCTCGTTCGTCTTTCCACCAGACAGATTTGATCAGCTCGATGGTTTCGGGCAGAATTTTACGGCTAACATTGATGGATTCGGGTATCCAATGCCTGTTTCATAGGATCATCACAGGACGGATACAAGGTGGGCCTGAACGCGATATAGCCCTGGCTTTCTTCTCATTTTCAAAGTTCCCGCAGTGCCCAGTCACATGGTCAGCATGTCTTTACTAGAAATAATGTATTGTTCCCGCTTTAGTCTATGACCAGACATTTAAGCAGATCATTATTTCATTATTGTACAACCAAGAAAACCACGTCTCCTCGCACACATGAGAACGAATTCGAGGTGCAGAAGATTGCTATTCCAGGTTCGAAAGAGCTCCAATTCTTGTTATCAGCCGAGACGTGTGAGGATCCCTGCAAAACCACTATAGGGACGAGGTATGTATCCCGAGTTCGATTGATCATAAATCTACCTTCCTGTGGTTTCGTCGGTCGTAGTAGGCCCCAGAGGGTCTAGTAGGCATCAACGATTGAACCCGTATTTCGTTGGCTTAACTTACTGGTCTTTCCTTCCATATTCCAAGAGCTAACTTCTGTGCGCTATCCTCATACCCTGGAGTAAGACATTCCCAAAACCCAGGCAACTTAGAATCTTGGAACTGCCGTTGTTCTTCTACCGCCTTCGCCAGTTCTGCTCGAAGCTCTTCAACATGTTGTGGGAGAGTGAAGCTTGCAAGATGTTCAGGCATACTAGCAGAGGGTAAAACAGCGTAGATTCAAACAAACATGCGCTTTCAGACTAGGTGAACCTTTGTGCGCTGACGCGATGTGATCGTAAATTTCCCGCATATGCCACGAAATGGCGGGGCAGCACGTGCTGTCCCGTAACGCTTTCGGATCACGTGGCTAGAAGTTTCACAGAGTAATATTTTTATCTTGACGACTCTGACTCTAAGCGCCCGCCATTTTGTGACATTTTCGACGATTACCACATATGATCGTAAAAATACTATATTAGCCATACATTGGTGTTTTTTGAGTGTTTTACGATACCTATTATGCCTCCTAAATCGCGTAAAGGCGTCCGATTCGGTCACGATGACTCGACAGAACCTCCACCACCACCAGCTGGGCCACGGCCACGTATATCTACGTCGAAGGCGCTCCAAAATGACATAGAGAAGGCATCGAGGACCGCGAAGACAGCGGCGAGGCGTAAAAATACGCCTTTAGCGCGCCATATTGCTGAATCTGTGACTCTGTGGAGCCCTCCTCTAACCTCACCGAGTACTATACCCGATAAAACCATTGATAATACTGTGGATAATGAAGATGTGGTTGAAGTCGAGGAGGACGAGGATGAAGACGCGGCCCTTGACAGAGTAATGTGGTCTATCCACGTTAATTGGAGACAGTCGCTCGATATGAGTTCGAGAAAGAGATTCAGGGACTTATCGATGAGTCTCTGGCTATAGACGACTGGCTATTTAAGGCTAGAAGCTTTACTATGAAGCTCGGAATCAATGGACGTCCTAGGAAACAGTCGAGCGTACCAGATTGGGGTATATTCAACTAGGATAAGATACTCAGCTTCATCGACGAGGTCCATAGCTTCGTGAAAAAGGATCCACTCGAGGCTGTATTCGTCACGTTCGAGGATACTGTTCGTTGTCAGAGTTACCAGCCTCCACAGGGCGTAAGAAGACTGCCTCATCGAATCCGAAGTCCCCTATATCCATTGTTTACTTGTCTTTCTAACTAGAGTTTCTTCCCTTAATTACGACTGCTCGGCTATCTTCGAGCGACTCGACTTTCCGCAACAAGATGCTGAAGGCCTGGGTAATTTCTACTGCAGATGGCCGATCTGAGCGGTCCAGTCCGTATCAAATCCCTCCCCTCACTCGCCTTCAGTGTCGCTCGCCGCGTTGCTTGACGAACAGGCCGATCAAACGCAGCCAACACTCCAGGCACGAAGAATTTGAGCGACCGACTGGAAGCGTCACGAGAACAATACGTATAATAAGATCACGTACTGGTTTTAGGAGCAAGGTATAGAAGAGAAAGGAATGTGAGCGAGCCTTCCAGAGGAGAACAACAACATGCGGTGGCAGAACTCGCTCGAGATACTGCTGAGCAACGAATGCGCAAGACCACGCTTCCAGAACTGTCACATTCATTTGTCATATTACAATTTCATCCACTCTTTCTCAGCATCATCTGTAGAGGCCTCCTCAAACTTATGGTTATCCAGCCAATCGCAAGCATCTCTCTTGTCCGCAAACTCCTTGTAGAAGTCGTCTAGTGCCTGATCTATGAAACGGGCGGCTGTATTAGCAGTGGTTGAGCGCGACATTGAGCAAGAACTCACCCTGAGTATTTGCAGAGAGAGAAAGGTGCAACGAAAACTGAGCAATCTTGGGTCTCTGTAGCACAAGCATCTCTGGAACTCGTGTCCCTGTAGCAAGTATGGATGAGCGTCTCTCTAGCACAAGGATGTGACGCCTACCTTTTCGTATGGTGAACACGTATGGACGTTCAGCTGGTATGCCATTCTCTAAGTCATCATGATAATTATCAACAGCTAGTCTGATGATCTCTTGCATTGTGAAGGTATTTGGCATTAGCGAACCATTGTCCAAGTCTATTCCAGTCAGTATTCAATCTTTCCTTCAACCATGGGGACGAACAGGCAATCTCAGTCCAGTTGTTTCCATTCATAGACCCCGAATGCAGAGTGTGGATGCTCTCCTGCGGAGAAAAGCTTTCGTTGAGCCGATGGCGCTCGAACTCAAAGAGCCGAAATGTTCCACCAGCGTTTAGTCGTGAGAGGGATGCTGGAAAGACCTTGTAGACAGGAAAGGCTGCTAAGCGCGACGGTTTGGTGAATCTCCGTACCGCAGGCACTGGAGCACGAAGTATAAATCGCATTGTGGCAACATCGACGCGACGAAAGGGTCCTTACTTGGACGAGGCAAGTTGTAGTGGTGGAACGGATCAATGAAATGATCCGGTGCGCGTGACCTTCCAAACAAGCTTAGGCCATGTGAAAACTGCAGAGAAAATTTGTGAGCCTTAGTAAACGAGTAACGTGGATATTAGAATCCACAAAATTTATTCAGCTACCAACCACTGTTTAATAGCTATACATATGAGGCTCTGGCTGTAGAATGAGCGGCTTCGAAGTGCTACCACATAGCCGCAACCAGGCAGGAAATGACATGTGCGATAAATTTACCATCTTATCTACAAAACCGTGTATGATCTCACTTCATGCCCCATCAGGCGTAATGATCAGTCCAAGCACCGTTCTGAAAATATCTTTGTCGGTTGGTACCGTCATTCGCGGGGTACCAACCATCTGGGGTGCTAGATGGCCCAGCAGCCTGGCTGTACGCTTGAAGCCACTGTTCCCGGCTCATTACCCTCGCATTTGCCCCTAAGAACGAGGTAATGCGTTGATTGAGGTCTACAGCCGCGTAAGAATCGGTTTGGCTGGAAGCGTCGCAACTCGATCTTACCTGCGAGCGACATCTCAGTCGCAGCTTGGAGTGAATAGTGGTCGGTGTGCTCATGAACGAGGATGAGGTCGGGGGGTAAGGGAGTATCTACACTAGTCTGAGTACGGATTGATCCTAAGCTCTACAAAACTTACTGGCGGGGACTGAGTACACTATGATGCTGCTGCCTTTGAAGTTTTGGATGAGTCGTCTATGCATATCGCCGTCCGGCCGCATTGACGCGCCGTTCGGTGCTACATTTCGGTTAGGTTGAATTTTAGTCCTTGACGAGCGCCTATTCACCGTTGTAGTTTGCCGCATCCAAAGCCTTTGGCTTCACCATGCCGGACTCAGTGACAACGTCGTAGCTGTACCCTTGTCCGCGCCACTCTCGAAGTGTGATCGCTGGGCCATTGTTCACTCGGAACAGCTCTCTTGGGACGGTTCGGAAAATATTGATCAGTCTCGCAGCCATGTTTCGTGGTGTAAGCTCAAGGGATAGTGTAATGTGCGCGATGTGTTTGGGAACGATGGGAGGTTTGCAATTGGGGCCGATGCGAAGCTGGACTTTTATAGTCATCCTTGTTAGTTGCTGCCTGATTGCCTAATGGCTAGAGGACAGCTAGGTCATCACAAGGCTGAGGCGCGTACTATGCGCATGTCTTGGCGAATGCGGCGTACCGCTTCGAAGCAAGGCACAGGCGCCTGCCAAGCGTCTACGTAGATGCAAATAAAGGAACAGGAATGTGCGCCGCTTGGCTGTGTTGGATGTGACACAGTCGGAGCATGTTCGTAGTCTGAGAGCCAATGAAACAGTCGAACGCCCGGATTTAGTCGGCGTAACGCGCATGATCATCCCAGAAGATGACCCGCTGTTCCCTTTTTCGCTGCCTTCCTGCGAAGCTCTCCTGTCCCACATTCACAGACCAAGACAAAGTTAAAGTGGATCTGCGGCGTCTCGAAGGCGTCCCCCCGAATCAAGTGGCCTCACTTGATCCATGTACGCTGCCGTCCAGCACATGGAGTAGCTATACAAGTTCTTCGGCGTTGTGTTGTTTCTTGTGGAAAAACGCCATGCCCTCATCTTCCTCCATAGAACTGGCTCTCATAGTTGGCTGTTGAATTGGAGCTAGCGGGTTGTAGTAAGATGTATTTAGCTGGCGCATAGTACTGGCCCATACTCGCCCATCCAGGACCCCGTGCTCAACGGCCCATCCAAGAACCCATCAACTTTGAGGAGCCTGAATTGATGCTTTAATTAAATATATAGCCATAGATTAGAGAGAAACGTGTCCGCGAGAACCCATAACGTCTTCTATACTAATTCTGGCGTGCTCTATTTGAGCCTCTGCCCATGGGTTTTGCTTCTGTCTCAATTTTTCCGTGTTATCTCTTAACCGTTGAACCTTCAATTCTTGCACCTTGTTACGAGCGGCAAGATGGAGTCGAGCATCAGATACGAGTATAGGACCGTATTGCCCTATATAACGTCGAGAGGAGCTTTGACGAGCCTGCCGTGCCTTAGTTGCTCCGTTAGAGCGCTCAATATGATCGCTAAGTAGCTTACATGAACCTGCCAAGCCGAGAGATGCCTTGATTGCCTTCCTAAATAGGACCCCAGCTCTCTCAGAAACCAGATCCGACTCTTGTATGGCCTTACTTGTCGTCTCAAGGAGTATTTTGAGGCTCTTAGGAGTGCGTGGAGTATCTGGTATCTCAAAATCGTCAGGTGTAGGATTAACTCGAACCCGGGCCTCAAGGGTATCGAGTATGGGCCTGGGGTTAAAGGGATGGAGGCCTGATTTACGCCATCCAGACCGTATAGTCGACTGCTTGAATGCTTCCTTCCGGAAGCCGTGTATTGTATGAAGGAATTCAACCTTATTAAAGTCGCTACAACCGTCGCGGACGGCTTGATCAACGTAGCTCTTATGGTAATACTTTAGCGGCTGGAAGATACCCACGTCAAGCGGCTAAAGCATACGGCTTATATGAGGTGGGAGCCCAATAGGTACTATATCTAGTTCCCAGCACCTGGAGATGAACTCATACGTCATATGAGAACCGTGCCCGTCAAAAACAAGGCCTCTAACAGATCCGTACTGCCGTGTACAAGTAGCCTTGTGGAAATGCTCAAGCCATTTAAGGGTTATCTGATCGTTGGAGTAGCCGCTCTCAGACGTAGCGATCACATAGCTATCTGGAAGGCCTACCTCGTCCTTAAACCACTTCTCAAGCAAGTTGGTGCCTTGGAGTATAATGAACGGATCGATATAGTCGCCAACGGCGTTAACGGCTTCAATCGTGCCTGTCAAGTCTCGATTGGTCTGAGAAGCTACGTTTACTTGAGGCGTAGCACTCCGTCTCTTCTTCCGAACCATTGTAACAACCCATTGACCGCCTCCAATCCCATGGCGAAACCCTGTCTCGTCAAAGTTCCATAGATCTTGAGGTTGTATACCCTTCTCCCATATAACCTTCTTGTACTCGGCATAGAAGCCGCCGATTACCTGGGATCCTCAGCGGCTATTCGTTCCATATCTTGAGGCTTTGATCTTACAACTTGTACGTCTGTATTCAGCTGTAAGAAGCGTGCGGTCCAGTCCCTGCCAAGCGGTATATACGGTTTGTCTGGGGTGGCTGATGCCATAAGGATGGAGTTGGCGGCGGCTTGTATCATGGGCCGGAGGGCAGAGATCCTAGCATTGTCTAAGGCAGTAATATATGCCTTGAGGGCAGCGATCTGAGTATCGTTAAGGCGTAGATTAACTGGCGTACGACCTGATTTTGAAGGTATATCGCGAGCGCGACGCTTGACGCGACCGTACGGTGCCTTGTCTTCGGTGGCCGCCTTCCTCAACGAAGGGTACTTTCCGCTCTGAAAATCGCGGAGAGCAGACTGCACTCTCTACTCTTCAATATGGTACAGTAAAAGCTTAGGCATGGCAAAGATGAAGGATATAGATGGACTCTATGAGGTTTCCTTGATACAATGGGCCGTTGAGCACGGTAGCGCCCCGTGCAACGCACGGGGTCCTGGATGGGCGAGTACCCTCGCGGTGCATGGCCTAATAGAACATATATACATACATACATACATACATACATACATACATACATACATATATACATATATACATATATACATATATACGTGCTAGAGGCGTTCAATTTAGTATGGCCTAGATAAAGAAGAAAGAGTTTGAAGTAGCCATAAGATACCGCCACTTGTGGCGGGTGGGCGCCAAGATGTCTAAGCACAGTCTTCAGCCACGACCAGATCAGACGGTTCAGAATCTGGCTGCGGGGAACCAAAACGATGCCCACTTTCAGCAGCGCGCGATCCAGATGGTTTTTCAGGAAGAGAAAGAGTGCACTCACTAACACGTCCAGAAAGGATAGAGTTAAAAATACGTGACTATGCCGATAGCAGGGTATAAAACACGACAATAAGCCGCAACGGTAACCTTATGGTTCTACTCCGACGAACTTTTGACTGACGTATCCTAACAATCAGACTCGTCCTTCGCCATCCGTTTCGCGGTTCTTTGCTCTTGCTTAAGGTAAGAATTGATGCGCCTCGGATAGAAATCCAACACTAGTGCATCAGGCGACCAGGTGCCATCTTCGGCCCCACTGCGGAAACCATTTTGGTCCTGTCCACCTAGCTACAAAGTCTGGCGGTCAAACCTGTAGTTGCCTGAACTGAGTGGACCGGGGTCTCTCCTGTGACTAAGCACACCTCTCGTTTTCGGTCCATGGCTACCGTTGCCGAGCATCAATCCTTTCGCCAGCTTCTGGAAAGGCTTGTCATCGAGGTCGATGAATTCTCCCGACATGCGAACCCTATCGTACCCTCCATCGTTAGCATGGTCAAGGGTCTTAGGGTGGACCTGAACATTCTTCTTGGACAGAATGAGTCTCATACCCAACCCTATCGAATCAAGCATGCAACCACAGCTGCACCACCGATAATAGACGATGACGTCCGCAGGACAGGAAGCCTCGGGCGGACGCAAGTGCGTATGGTGCAGGCTGCAGAGCAACTCGAGGTCACACTTCAAGACGGCTCCTCACAACCGTCACCGTCCTTGTCGCGGCAAGCCTCAGAGCCTCCTCCTCGCTCTTCGCATACCAGAAACCGCGTTCAAGGCCGCCCAAAAAGCGCAGGGGATATACATGGACAATCACAGAGTGAACGAAACTCGGACATACCAATCTCGCGAGACTCGAAGCATCAGCGAAACGGCATTGGGGTACCAAGCCATGTTCCTACCGTCCCTCCAACTTCACGATACACAGAACAAGAAGAGTCGGAGGCGGATCGATTTGTCGATGAAATGGTTGGCTGTCTAGAAGCGAATGTAGATCCAACTGGAATCCAAGTTCTGGACAAAGCGCTCCCGCTCGAAGTGTGCCCAGTTCGCTCGTGAAAGTGCGATATATGTCCCCAAAGACGTCCTCGAGGAATCGAGCATACCATACAAAATTGTTCGTCGGCATCGTGGGGAGATACTGGTCACGTTCCCGAACACATACCATCAAGGCTTTAGCGTTGGAGCTACTATCGCAGAGGCCGTGAATTACGCTGACGACGAGTGGGACCCAGAAAAGTGCAAAGCTTGTACGGAGCGTACCTGCCCGAACGGCTTCATTGGGCAAGACGTGATGGCGCTCTGTAGCGCTGGGGAAGAGCAACTGTCCGCTGGCGAAGGCGGCGGATCAGAGTCGATATCTAGCATATCTAGTGATTCAGCGTCGGAGACAAGTGGTGATCGAACTCGGCAGAAATGACCGTCGAAGCCGAACCCGTCAGAGACCAAAGTAGTCCGCACGGGTAAGGTTCGTCGATCGAAAGCAAAGAGCAAGGAAGCACCGGTCTTCCATAACCCTCCTGCAAAGAAGTCGGCCGTGGTTGCTCAGTTATCTACCAACTTGAACACGATCCTCTCAACGCCCAAGACTCCTCCTGCAGAGGATAAAGCCGATTGCGGATATGACGAAAGCCGCTGCGTGCTTCTGACCAAACTTTTCTATGCCATTGGAAGCCCGGAAGCTGTTTGTCAGCTCCATAACGCTTACAAGGCGTTGAGGACAGCAGGTTGCCATATATCTCCGTCAATGGATGACATCGCCGATGCAGTCCAAGCTCTTAATAAACTTAATGCTACCATTCATCTATATGCAATAATACGTCGATTCCACCTCGTATCGCTTTGTCACCATCGCAATGTTTTGCTGGCAGAGACTCGAGTAACGCGAGGCGGCAATGCACAGGAGTCTGGCAGATCTGAGACCGTAGCTCATCGGAAGCTAATGTCACATGCTTATCCGGGTTTGGAACCGGGCAGGTTGAAGCGAGGCAACGTCAAGGACAATTATGTCAAGAAGTCCCAGGCGTTGACACACCGACTTAAGATTGGACAGCGTTGGTCCATGCTAGCGAAGGCATTCGCACCTGGCATCCTTGCTCTCATTCCCATCCGAGGGGATTTCCAGCTCTCGAATTCGGAGTAAGTAGTTCAGAGTCTTTCCGGCCAGCTAGCTAATTCAGATCAGTTACGAAAAGCTTCCTGCTCCTACGATCGCAATTTTGATAGACGTCCTACAACGACACAGAGGCGGCTTTCTGCAGGAATTTAGCACATGTCTCGACTTTTTTGCTCTAGCCAATGCCGAAAATTCTCTCGTAAGGCAGGATGCTGACACTCTGAAACAGGAAGAATACGATTCACCGCGTCTAGTCGAGCTCTGCAAGTCGCAGCCGTGATGGTTAACGGAGAGGAGTGCCACAGAGGAGGATTACCGTACAGTACAGATAGGCTTCATGTGACGAAAACTTGCAGACATCGATCCACGCTCGCGAGGCTTGCGCTGGATCTGCTTCGGGGTAGATGACTCCACCAACGTCTTGGCGACCAGCCTCTAGATCTACGCCGCCTTATGGGGGAGCGCGCCACATCCCAACCCTGTGGTCGCGCCAGGGTCTTTTTTTAACCGTATTGACATCCCTGACTTGAGCAACTGCCACCCCCTCGGAATCCCATTTTTAGGCAAGCCGAAGTAGAGGGTGGGTCCAAAACCGGTCCGGCGACCTCGCATCCGGGGTTCCGTTTTCTCATACGGAGTCATGCACGAACGTAACTCAGAGCCCAAAACCGAGTTGAGATTCAGAGATCTGCAGGTAGTTTAAGTATACCCTCTAGAAAGGGCGGTTTTTCAGGGTCTTCGGCTCGCTCGCTGCCGCTGCGCGTTCGAACCCTCGCTTCTTAGCAGAGCAGTTAGTGATGCTCACCTCACTTTACCGCCAATTATTAGCCGGAGAGGGCGATGATGTAGCACTTCGTTACTAAGGACAGTCTCCAGACTTCCTATCAAACAAACAGTTCAGTTCCGAGCCTCTATTTGAAGTTGAACTGAAGCACTTTAGTTTACCTCGCGGTATATTTGAACCGGGATGTCAGTTCTAGTGGTAGAATTGAAGTTGACTCAGTTGAACTGAAGTTTAGTAGATAGTATGTCTAGAGTGAAGAAATAGCGTAAAAATACGGTAAATTTAAGTCTATATAGAAGATTTTCGTACGCCTAGACGACGTTTATATACCTAGGTATATACTTAAGAGTACTAAGTCGGCTAAAACGTCTAGATTCGTTAAGTAACTATTAATACTCGATGGAAGTTTTGGCCCGAAAAACCAGTTCTAGCATAGGTCATCGCAGAGGCGGTTCAGAATCTTAGTAGGATATAGCAGAACATCTTACAGTGTCTTTCTGTTTAATCCCAGAGCCGTAGCCGAAGCTCAGGATTCGACTTTTTGGAATATCCTTGGACAGGAACTCTTTCGGCAAGAGCACTGCATTGTTCCAGCACTCACTTTACCTCTGCTTTCTCCCCATAATACCACGTACTTAACCCATACGGCGCCATATTCACGGGTTTTAAAGGGTCGAGATTGTCAATAGAGCTTGAGCTGACTGGTACCGTACATAATCGGGAAGTACTGGTTATATTGATAGGAACCTGACTTCTTTTCCAAGTCAAATGCTCGAGCATCCAGCCGAGTAGAACAGAGTTGGAGCTGATCTGTCCAATACTCTTCCTGGGTCATACGAAGCTCGAGCAATGCTACCTGCTCAGGGAGTCCATGATATGGGTCTGTCTGGACGACCCGAGGCTCACATTCTCTCCAAGAGATATCTTCTGACGTGGTGTTCCATGTTGCGGTCGTCTCCTGCAGCGACTCCCAGTTTTCTTGTTGGAACTCGATTGGCCACGGAGATTGACATTGTGCCCTCAGAAGATCCAAGTCCGGCTCAAAGGAGTATTCATTGACGTCAGCGAAAAAGTCGGAGGAATCAGCTGTCATGTGTCCAGACCCTAGGTTGTTTCGATATAAGATCGCCGGTGGAGAGCTCGAAGGAAAGGTCCAATTCTCCCAAGTGGCATTAAGGTTGTCAGGGCCACCAACACAGAGCGCAACTTCGCTGTCTGGAGGCGTGATGCTGTAGATACTCATACTCGGACGGCAAGACTGGTCATCCATCGTTGTACGAAGTATCTCCCAAGAATCCCTCTAGCTTGACAAACAGGTTTTATGCTATACATTGCTTAGAATCATCCTTGTGCAGTTATCATCAAACAAGTTTCATGGGCTATGCTAACGATGTGCTACCAAAAAAAGATTACGATTTCAAAGGCGTCCGCGTGCAATACAGTATGATGCTATATTTAGCAAACTTGGCCCAGTTTCGGGGACCCAGGCGTATACTTGGATCAAGCAGACGGCTGAGGACTTCCTTTACACGACCGGTAACGGAATCTCAGGTGTCGGACGATCTGTCTATCTCGCACACGCACAAAAGTCTGTTCAATGCTGTATCGAGAGTACTAACTAGAAATGAAATGTAAAGAGATCAGCTGTAATGACGGCCCGCTTCGGATCTCGGACCGGATCTTGTCACTTTCACTCCGTGCCTCTTCTATTTATAGCTGCTTTTCTACTATACTTAAGGGGCTTTCACTGTCGGTATGCCTAGAAGTGTATCCCTACCTATCCAGTATGGGGCTAATCCGTTCGGAAAAGGGAGTCGACTTTCCGCCAATCTCGCACCCTCAACCTGTTAAGTCTGGTTGTCTGAGAATCTCGAGCTCAGAGAAGAGTTGCAATGGGAGCGAGAGCGCTTCTGGTATACTGGCCGACTTCGATATACTCGTTGCGCCCGAGGATATCTTAAGTCAGCCCAAAGACCTGCGACAAATTGATCATATGCCCGCCAGGTACAGTGAGAAGGACGAATGGGGGCTGGGCTTCGCCGCAGGTGACTCCAGTTCTTGCGAGAAGATAGTAGCCCATATTGAACTGGTACTTGGCTGTTACCATCATCTTTCGAGTGCTCGTCCTTTCCAACTAATGCTTCAACACACTTGTGATAACCTTGACTTTTCGAACATCATCAATGAACGCCTGCCATTGCAGCCAAGCCGTGTTGAATCTGTGCGCGTCTTGCGATGCGCTTGATTTCTGCAAGCTGTCTATAAACGCCAAAAGATCTGGGGTGTCCATACTCTGGACTTCCTCGTTATCAAGTATGAGCCATGAGAAACAGACGCCGTTCTAGTCCGGTGTGATGTGTGACCTAAGGTGATGTAGTTAATAAGGTCTCTGTTCGGCCGGAGGTATCCATAATCATAGTACGAGGCGCCCTAAGAGAGTACCGAGTTGCAGAATGCCTGTATCGTGTGAGTGATCCACCGGCTTCAAAGATACACAGTAGGCAACTGGAGCTACTGAAAGGCCATTTTTCGAAGTTTAAAAGCCATACTACATGTTTTTGCTGCTTGATGAGGGAGCCTGACAAAGTCTTTGATTGCGGCCACTCGTGCTGCAATGGGTGCATCGCTCTCTACGGTAACGCTCGCAAGAATGTTCGACATGGCTATCATCTCAAAGCATGTCTACTGTGCGGTGCGTCCATAAAAACTCCTGACTTCGAATTCATGCCGCCCACCGCAGGGCCGCGCGTCCTCAGCTTAGATGGTGGTGGCATTCGTGGAGTCATACCTTTGACGTTCTTAGTTGGACTTGGCCGGAGACTCAAGCCTTTGGAACTTCCATTAAGACACTTTTTCGACTATGTTTGCGGCACGTCAGCTGGTAAGTTCCTTGAAATGCAGATACGTATATACCCTGACACGATAAAGGGGGTCTTATTACTCTAGGTATATTCATTATGGAATGGACCCCAGAAGACTGTCTTCAGAAGTTCGAGGCAATGGCGCATCTAACACATACCACCGCTGGCAAGGCAATGATGCAGACTGAGATTTTCATAGTGAAGACGAAGACGAAGAATAAGAAGAAGAGAAGGAAGAGGAAGAAGAAGAAGGATGCGTTGCGGTATCAGCACTTTAGTGGCTGCTGGCCTTGAGATGATGGGGTGTCATACACATTCAGAATGCCTGCACCGCGCAGTCTAAATGCACGCCTTAACCTCGTTCCCCTTTTCCACTGAGCTTCGTGCGCCGTATCTAAACCCCTTCTCTCAGGTGTAACACTGCAGCATCTTCAAAAGTCATGCTAAAGTTTGCTCTCCCAGTGATTGTGACCTTTTTAGGCATAGCGACAAGCATGTCCCAGCAAGATGCTCGGTCACCTCGATTGGTCATGTACTATGATCAGTAAGCATATCCTGAAGCAACTTCAGGCGGCGCACAACACTAAACGGGCATCAGATGGCATCCGGATGCCTCGATGGATCTGATATGTTCCAAAGGAATCACGCATGTTATATTGTCGTTCATGCTAAGCCACCACCTTAACAACGAAACACTCGATCCACTGTGGACGGCTAATGAACCTAGCCATAATTGGCATGTCAATGCGTTGAAAAGCCTGAAAGTGAATTGCCCCGATGTCAAAGTCAGTCTTGCGGTTGGCGGATGGAACGACGACCCCGAAATCGGTTGGCGGAAGACCATAGAGAGCGACGCTAGTCTCTCTTTGTTCGTACATAATCTCCACAGAGTTCTCTATGGCGATTTCCCCATATTCGAAAACCATCAATTCGATGGAGTTGGTAAGCAAGTCCCTTCAAACTTCCTGTTGGGATGGCCTATTGACAGTTGCTACCAAGTATATCCACCGGTACATCACTTCATGAGTCGAGGATCACTACAGTATGTCTCACTGGCTGTACTAACTCATTGCTGACAGTAACATCAGTCTCGTCCGTTCGCATCTCCGACAATACCGAAGTTCGCGATATGCTCGACGGCTGGATGGATGTGCATCTTGCTAATTCAACTCGATTCTCTTTCGCACGCATTGGCGGACGATTCACTTTTTTCCGAGACGACGAGTCTTATGTAAAGCCCAAGAGGCCGCTTCAGTTCGTTCCAGGGCATGGGACGCATTGGTTCAAGACGAGCGGCACATGGTTTCGATATCGTAATGTGGAAGAGCACGCGCCGAGTCCACGGCAAGTAACGTACATCAGTTGCTGGGGGCGGTCCCAAAGACCAGTGCGGAGTTTTCTCAACACATGTCGGGAACAGTATCTAAAGGATATTGCAAAGAAAACGCTTGTCTATGAGAATCGCGATAGATCTTGGATAAAGGCGCGAGCCAGGAGGACTCGACAGCTACATACCATTATACTCGATAAATCAGTGAAGGAAACGTGGCTTCGTGATATCGAGCAGTTTCTCGATCCTAAGACTCGGGCCCAATACATGGATACCGGTCCACCTGGGACAGGGAAGACCAGTGCGACGTTGGCAATCGCAGACCGCTTTGGAACCGACGTGTACAAGCTAAATCTTGGTGCCGGCTTACAGAGCTCAGAGCTGAACAAACTCCTTGACGAGGTTCCTGAACGCTCTCTTCTCCTAGCTGAGGATATAGACGCCGTAACTTCAGCTCAAGCACGAACCTCCCACAATGAAAACGATCCCTCCCCTGGGAATACACAGCCAGCTAAAACAGAGTCAACTACGATCAGCTTGTCAGATCTATTGAATCTTATGGATGGCGTCGCGTCTGTAGAGGGTGTGTTACTTATTCTTACCACGAATCATCCTGAAAAGTTGGATGCTGCCCTTGTGCGTCCTGGACGCATAGATCAGATGATCGAACTTGGTCTCACAACCTCAGAAGTCAACCATGATCTCTTCCATAACTTCTACAAGCAGGTGTGCGAGAGCGCTGCTGAAAATGACAACTTTTACAATGTGAGTTCGTTGGCCAAGGAATTTGCCGGGAAAGTTCCGCAGAATGAGTTCTCTCCCGCGGAAGTGCTGTCTCTCTTTCAGGAAAATATGCGCGCGCCACAGGCTGCAGTAGATGGCGCAGAGGACTGGATGGCCAAAATCAGGCAAGGCAGGCAGAAATGAAACCCCGATCTTCAGTCAGAATGCATGTAATCAATGATAAGCGCCTAGTGGTCGCAGAGAGCAGAGCTAGGGTCGAGGACATTCTCTGTGAGCCTGGTGCTGCAGATCGGACTGTGCTCTTCCTCAAGGAATGTCGTGACACTATCACACTAACCCAGAGAGTAGCCACTGGTGAAGGGGGCTGTACTTCAGGCTAGAGCCTGCATCTTTTGTACACAAGCACACTTGATTGGCCACTGATCGTACCGAAGATGTTTTTATTCTCAAGAACGTGAGGCATCCGCATGATTACAAATAAATCGATAGCACACTCTGTGCAGCAGAGATTAGGGCTGAACATCGTGCTATGGCAACAGCTTCAAACACAAGTGGCCCTTACGAGAATGCCCTCATCCATGACCCGTAACATACATATCCGGCGGCTGAGTTTACCGAGAGACTAGGAAAGAAGATTACTCGACACAGCCAACCCTCCGTCATCTCTACTACTATCATCCATCCATACCATTGTATTATCTGAGCTGGGCCATGACAACGAGATGTTCGTATATGCACCATGCGGCACTCTTAATGCATGATAGGGGTAAGTTGTGCTTGATCTCAAGTTAGGATCCACTTGTGGCAGGTCCATGGAATAATAGTCGTCTTGTGGCGTCAGAAAATTATACTCTGACACATTTTTAGGAAATAATTGCTGGGACCAAAGATTTTGTCTGTGTTGAGATAGCCAGCTACCATCATTGAAGACGGAAGCAGCAGCAGCACCCATTCCGGACATGTCCACCAAGGACGAGTCGGCTTCGCAGACCACGTTGACAGGATGTTCCTGGTGGGTCAGCTGGTGAACGTCCACCGAGGCCTGATTTCTAGAATCGCGCATCAGAGGTGTTTCTGGTATCCTACTGGCCCCGATGTTAGCATCGCTGGTGTTTGTTTCGTGGTCATCGGACTCCGCCCGGTTGTGCAACGCGTCGTTCTCTTTCTCTATCATGGAGCCATTCTCATTGGGTTTCGGACTGGTGGTGAGCTCTAGGCTGTCCACGCATCCTTTGGCTGGTTGCTCTCCTTGTTTAGTTCTGGATTTGCGACATTCGGTCATGTTGGCTACCGCATGTTGAAAATCTTGATGTAGTTGCGCGAGCGTTTCCTTGGACTCTGCGATTCTTTTGGTGGTATCTACGATTTTTTGGCATACTGTTCCAACTCTCTCATAGGGCTGTGTTCCTGCATCTTCCATGTTGGCTATCGCGTCTTCAAATCCTTGCTGTAGTTGCGTGAGCGCTTCCTGAGACTCTGCGATTCCTTCACTAGTATCTACGATTTTTTGGCATACCGTGCCAGCTGTCACATACAGCAGTATTCCTGCATCGCTCGTTCGAGATGGCGCCGTGATCGCAGGACCAAGTATAGTCGTCGAGACATCCGGTGGAAGACTAGCGCGTGCGGGCTCTGGTTGCGCATCCACTTCGACCGTGCCTGGCCGACGGAACAATGGCGAGTCAGGAGCTGCCGCGGAGCTGCTTACAAAGTCTGGCGATTCTGGAGACGATGATGACCAGTCTGAATTTGCAAGATGTGAATCCGCAAGATGCGAAGGGGCTGCTGTGGGTGGGTTGTCGAGACGTCTCGGCGATTCTGGTAATGGCCCTGCGAGCGTCACCAGCGGGCCATTGGTCTGTTGTTCGTTGTTGGGACACCGTAGCTTAACAGTGGTTGTGCTTGACGAGTCGATTTCCTCACGCACCTGCAGAATTCTCTCGTTCATCGAATGCTTCCGCAGACTCCATTGGATGTTTTCTTTCAGTCCTACCCCGATTTCGACTACGATCCTTCTCTTCCTCTTTCGTATGCCAACTTGCGAAGACACAAAGAATGGCATCGTGATAGTGTCGCATCAAACGAGGCGTGGAATCAGTACCAAGAGGCACTGAAAAGCGAGTTGTACATGTGGTACGGTGCCGAGAGCGACTTGACAGCCTGGCATGCTCTTCGCTAATATACATGTGGCTTTACACTGCTTGTCCCCGGTCTTTCTGGTCGGATCCAGTCTTCCTTGCCGTATGCTTCCTTACGCTTTGATAGGGGCGGAAGTCGAGCTCTTCAACCACAACTCCTCGGTCTGCCTCTTGGCAGACAGCCCTACGGATAGCTTGATTGGTCAACTTATCAACACACACTGTTGTGTAATGTTAGAAAGTGCTTCACCTTCTTCTGAGCAGCACTTACACGACACTATGGTACGGCCTTTGCGCTCGTGCAGCTCGTGCGCAATAACACATGGCGTATCCATAGCGCAGAAGGTCTGCGTGATCCGAAGACCAAGGCGTTTGATATCTCCCTTGACCGTTTTCCGCGATAGGAACTCGCCACAGACGAAAAGCTGTATGTTGAGGATCTGCTTCCCCGTCAGCGGAGCCTGGTTAAGCGATATTACCAAAGCTTACCAAGTCGCGATCTCTTGCGAGTAAGGATTGCATAGTCTCCTGTACCCACGCCATGTGGACTGTCGCATAGGTTAGTTATCTCGCTTTGGAGTTTCTCAACTACTGAGCGACTCACGCTCGCAATCCATTTGCCAAAACAATTTGACTCCTCGCGCCTTGGCGTCGTGTGCATCGTAGTTGTCGAGCAGTTGCGCTACGTAGCCGATCTGGCCAATGATTCCAGTCCCTGTCGCGAAGAGTAAGACTGTCCCATACCCGCTCAAGTCCAATTCACGCCCGAAGGGGCCTTCGACAATTGCGCTGTAGCCTACGGCAGCCTTCAGCTGAGGTCGTGAGAGCTGACGAGTGAACCCTTTCCTTCTTTGAGCAATAATTGTAATGATCGTCTTGTCATGCTCTTGCAATGTCTGGTATATGTAGAATGGGTGAGACTCCAGGAAGGCCAGCGAGCTGGCACTAGGAACAGTAATATACACGTACTGTCCCGCACGCGGCTTCCATGAGCGAGCCAAACAAATATGCAACTGGACTGTGTCGGTCAGCAGTATATCATTGTGACCTGTGCGATGATAGACAACCTCATGCATTGTAGCACAGGGCTTTGCACCGCCTCGTGCAACGTTGCGGTACAGTGCATAGGCAAGGCGCATCATGTTTACGGACAGGTAGATGCCAGCCGCAACCACAAGATACAGCAGCGGCGGCTTGTGATATTCCGAGTTATTAAGATGTACTCGCACAGCAATACAAACTGCGAGGAACAGAACCACGTGGGCCTTCATGAACCATTCGTAGAAGTATACGCGGATCGGACCCACAGACGATAGTAGTAGGAGTGCCATTCCAGCTGTAGCCTGTTCCACAACGGTCAGAACGAGACAAGACTCAACCGGAAGACCTACTGTGAGGGGAGCCACGTTTGGAGCTTGATTCATGGGGTGAGTCTGCAGAGCGAGAGCAATCCCGGCGTGGATGGCGGCTTCCAAGATGGCCAGGACTCCAAGAAGATAATGCACACGGAAGTATAGTGGCAAGGGAACCAGAGCAAGATCAGCCACTGCATTCATTCGAGCCCCCATGGCAAGACATGCTACATTAATGACAGACATGCGTGCTGTCCGGCGCGAGACATCGGAGTAACCGTGTACATGCACGGCAGTCGATAACACGTTGATGAGGAAGAGTAGGACCAGTACTGTCGCGTGTGAGTGTGGAATCGAGTGCAGCAGCCGAATAACCTGCCCCGTCTTATGGCAAGCGCGGCGAAACCATCTAGCTACTGGGCGTGGGTAGAGTGAGCGTACAACAGAGAGACATAAAGATGTGGCGAGGATAACAGCTATTGCACCGCCAAGAACGATTGAGTACCAGAACGTGAAGTCCGCGCTCTGGAGCTCCATAGCAAGTCTAAAGCGCAGCAGCAGTAACCGTCGCTTTTCGAGTGAGCTGGTGAATCCATTAAAGGAGTGCTCTAGCCAGGGTCAGTATTTGGCCCTGTTCTATTTAAGGAGCTGGCCTTCACCAGGTAGGAGCATATACAATCGGATTTAATCCAGGGTCCTAGATTAGGATTGTATATACCTAAGTATAGCCCAAAATAAGGCCCCGGCTATACTTAGTCCGTTCTCCACAGTAGCTGCAAGCGTTCTGCAATCGTTCCATGCTAGCTACTGCAATGTCTGATGCTCGCTGGATCGAGTCGCAATACGTACGATACATGCGGATCTGCTGCGCCAAGTTCATGTTTTTCTCTACCAGCCTCTCGCAGCATCTTTCGGGCGATATTGTTGTTCGCAGGATCGTTCGTGTCTCATAATGATAGCAGACATAAATACACTGCACTGGTTGTGGTCCGGCCCATTTTTCTTCCTTGTACTAAAGATAGCCGTAATGTGGAAGGGCGCTCAAGACGCTGCACACGTTGCGCCACTGTCTATCCCCCAAGAGATGATAGGGTGTCAGACACATTCCGAATCCTGCACCGCGCAGTCTAAATGAACGCCCCAACCTCGTTCCCCTCTTCCACTGAGCTTCGTACGCCGTATCTAAACCCCTTCTCTCAAGCGTAACACTGCAGCATCTTCAAAAGTCGTGCTAAAGTTTGCTCTCCCAGTGATTCTGACCTTCTTAGGCATAGCGAGAAGCGTGTCCCAGCAAGATGGTCAGTCACCTCGATTGGTCATGTACTATGATCAGTAAGCATATCCTGGAGCAACTTCAGGCGGCGCACAATACTAAACGGGCATCAGATGGCATCCAGATGCCTCGATGGATTTGATATGTTCCAAAGGAATCACGCATATTATATTGTCGTTCATGCTGTGCTACCAGGCTAAGGAGCTAATTATCGTGACGTAGGACAGCTGTAGGAAGATGCAGCAAACTAACAACTACTCAACATTGACGCCATTTCAGAGAGTTTTCCCATCTACCGTGGACGACCCGTAGCGAATTCCGTGATCTTTCGAGCGCCCCTGGAATGTAGAAATGAGCATGCACACAGTGGGAAGTATCGATGGATCATGCCTGATGCCACACGCCCTCTCTTGGTTCCTGTAGTGATGAGAGCTACAGGGCGCGCAGGACGCCTCTCTGGGATATCGACGTTTGAGGCTCAGTATTCTGGGCGAGTCTTCGTTATCGTACGGCACTGTGCCTTTCGACTATCTTTAATTTGCTATCCAGGATTCTAGACTGCCAAGATTTTGGCGAGTAAACAGTGGCGCCAGTGTGCGCTATGGCGGAGGACTCAGTAAACAATACAGTGCTTGTCCTCCATCAATCACAGCGTCCGCTAGTAAGAAAGTACAGTGCACCATGCAAATGATACAAACGATAGGGGCGTCTTTTAAATCCCGCTTGTGATTATTTGCACCTGTCTAGCGAGGCTGACTTTGTGTTATAAAATCAGGCAGTTCTACTATCTTTGAGAAGCTCTTGTACCACCCAGGAGCTTATCGCCACCTTCTAGACAACGCTTGTACCTACTTACATCCTGAAACATGACTACAGAGGCACAAATTCTTGAAGCAGCACGCCGTCTCAATAAGGTGACATTCAAAACACCTCACTCACCACACAGGGGAGTAAGTGAATTAGCAGCAGGGTTCTCGCCCTCCGAGACTGTCAGTTTAGAGTCTCTAATATGCTCTATACGCGACAGAGATACTCGCAGCTCACAGGGCAAGATCTCGATTCTTGAAAGTGCCAAGGAGATTGTACGGCAATTGGAGAGCCCAGACGGGCGAGCAATGGAACTTCTCATGTCATTCTCCATCGTACCGACCTTGAAGATCGCTATGGATATGGGTGTCTTCAAGATGCTAGCCATCCGTAGCCGAATAACAGCATCCGAGATTGCACATCAAGCCAAAGCAGAGGAGGAGTTTGTTGGTAAGCTCGGGACAATCTATCTGTATGCTAAGCCGTCTGACACAATCAGTCCGGATAATGCGCGTACTTGTATCTATCGGTGTAGTTACCATTCTCTCTGTCCGTACATATGGATCGACCCGGCTCTCCGATTTCTTCACTGTACCAGCAAATGCTGCTGGGATATGTGTTGTTAACGACCAAGCCCTTCGTGCTGTGTCACGGTTCTCCGAGTACGCCGCCGCCCACTCCTACCACAACCCGACAAACACGCTTACAGGCCCTTTCCAATTTGCACTTAACACCTTTGAATCCTGGTTCTCCTGGCTCTCCACACGCCCTCACGAAGCTGCAAACTTTAACCTGTTCATGACTGGCTTCCGCAACAGCAAGCCTGCTTGGCCCATGCAATTTCCCGCAGAGAGCATCATCTTCAGCGGTATTCCTTCTAGCCAGGACAGCAGCGTCACAGTTGTTGACGTTGGCGGCGGCTTTGGCCATGACCTAAGTCTCTTTGCCGAGAAGAGTACACGCAAGCCTGGAAGACTCGTCTGTCAAGACCAAGAATCTGTCATAGCTACCGTCCCGTCAGAGCTAGCTGCTGGGATCGAATTTGTCGCACACGACTTCTTTAGAGAACAGCCAGTGAGGGGTGCCCGAGCGTATTTGCTTAAGCACATCTGCCATGACTGGCCACATGCCCTGGCACTCTCGATCCTGAAAAATATCAAGGTTGCTATGGAGCCTGGGTACTCCAAGATATTGATTATGGATCTGGTGATGCCGGAGGGAAAGGTGCCGCTGGCTGCTGCAAGTCTTGATGTCGCTATGATGACGGGCTTCTCTGGGGCTGAGAGAGAAGAAAAACTATGGATGGAATTAGTGGACGATGCAGGACTGAGCGTGAGGAAAATCTGGAAGGGGCAGGATGGAGATGGACTATTAGAGGTTGTTCTGGAAGAAGACAAAGACGACATAACTACAAAGCCTAGACTGACAATAGCGGGTTGAGATAACTGGTGGCAGTGCGCGTAGGATCTGGCAATGTTAGATTGCAACTCTTCTGATAGGGCTTGAATAGAGCTGGGATATTATCCTTACAACATCTCCCGCGAGACATTCCCTGATCATAAGATTGACACATATGGCGCTCGTCCACGTCGCCACATTAACTTCAACTACGACAGACTGCAAATAGAGTCTAGTCATATGCTACAAGTGATGTCACAGCTCACGGTATATTGGATTTTGGAATGCAGACCATTCAGCATCATTCATACCTAGCAAAACGACCGCGCTACACGAGCATCATGTCTCAAGCAAGCTCGCAAGATGGTAACAAGTATCTGATCAGCCACTAGGGCACCCTTTGCTTCTCTGACACGCTCTACGAGATTCTCCCATGACACTCGCGTGTTTCGGTGGTACCTGTGCATGTTCCCGTTGTCAACCCCAGACCTTAACACCGGCACCAGGGCTATCAGGTCTGCGTAGAGGCCTGTATTGTTCAGTTGCGGGAAGAACAGTCCTCGTGTATCTTGAACGAGATGAGTGCGGAAATGTGCTAGATAATTGTCGTGTCGCAAGAACGTCTGACGACATGGTCCTTCTTTTCGATGGCGGCCAATATCAGAGGTTCTTAACATGATATCACAAGTGAATGTGCGTTCCTGGTCGTGTGTCTCCTGGTGACGCTTTAGATGCTCTAATTTGCTGAATTTCCGACCACAATGGACTCCTTTTACCCTCTTAGAACAGATGAACTGTCTCCGGGGCTGAACAGTTATGACGCCAGAGCATTTTTGCTTCTGCACCTTCATATTGGAAAACATATCAAGATTGCGCGAGTAGTGTTCCCACATCGTTTCTACGTTGTATACTTCTCGACTTTTACCGGCCCCAGAGGTAGAAGATGCCGATGAGTTCGTATTAGCTGCACTCTGAGTAAGACTGCACTCAGTCCTGTGCAAAGTCACACCAGACTGGCAGTGCGATCTGCCAACAGCAATCCCCAGTCCCTCCGTACATACGTCGTCTATAACATGTGGCGATGGACAAATAGAACAGCCATCAAGATTAAGCTGCGAGTTTCGGTAGGTGACAGTATACGGACTGGAGGGTTGATTCTCGGGCCACTGGCAAGGTGAGCTGCCAAACTGCTCACCTAGATACATAGTCAGTAGAGTATGAATCCGCCTCTGGTCTCGTCCACCACGTACCTGAAACAGAGAAGTGAATTGTTGACATGACGTCTATCAACCATGAAATAATACCACTATGCTATGCTGTATTATAAGCGAAGGCCTAAGACGCTTTACAGTAAATTGTATCTACACCGCAGTAGGATATACTAGGCTCCAGGATTTACAGGGTTAGTGGAGCCGTCTAGATACTGAGCCGTTAAACCCACGATACTGAGCCATGACATCCACCAAGTCATCGCCGCTCTCCAATCGGCTAGGCCATGCTGAGCCATAGATATATCTGAGCCAAACCATGTCAGTCGCCTTGGCTATACTAATGATAACTATACTGGAACAGTGCATATGTGCTATCAGGCTCGCAGGAGCTGCTCCTCCGGTCTACGGGTGCTATGTAGGCCAATGGAGACAAACACGCAACCATGCTCGCAACAGAGCGCTTCACGCTGGAGTTAAGACCGCTGGTATGGATATCATATATCTTCAGCGTATGGCTCATGCGAGACTGTCCATTCGACAGTGCCGCAGTCACTCGAAAGAATGGAGCACTCCGCTGCCGACCCTTCAAAGCCACAGTATTCTTCACATCTGATAAGGCAGACGCCTGTTGGAGCTACGACGAAGTCGAGCCAGTCCTGTAAGATTGCGAAAGATTGCAAGACCTTTCCGCACAAAGCGCAGGCTATCCTTGCTCAACGGTTCACGCAGCGGCTCGCAGACCCATATCTTACTGGGCAGGAGAGTGAAGAGCTTCCTGCGCGCCCTCATCACTGCAAGGTATAATGCAGTTTATCAGCGAAATGCCACACAGCGTTGGGTACGTGGAGCCTGCGCCCTTTCAATGTGGGAACGTCTGTAGAGTAAAGCATGACAAAGCTGATTGACGGTCCTGTCTAGTCTAGCTAAGTAAGACCTGAGCAACACGCATGTACTCTGATTTAGTCCGGGTTCCCATTCATCGCTCTCGCTCCGAGGCAAGTCTCTAGGCTGGCTCGGAGCATCTTCTGGTGTAACGAGCCGGTCGAAGTCGGCTAGGATCTGACGAAGGCTCTCTACCACGGCTTGAACCTCTGCTGCAAGGAATGATTTTGCCTGGCAGCTTGACCAGAAGTGGTCTCGCTCCCACTTCACGGAGGATCAGCCGGCTTGGGTTAAGAGATAGGCAGGAAACTGGGTGGCTTCTTGGACCTGAACAATCCCATATCGGGTGAAGTGAACAGCTAATGCTAGAGATGAAATTTATGGCATAGAGATGTAGCACGAGTCCTACATATAACAGGTATGATGACTCGAATGGAAACGTTTGAAGATGGAATTGACAAAATCGGGACCGTGGACCGAATCAAGGCATTGCTATAGCTGCACTTGGATGTCCCCATGAGTCTCTGAAGCTGAATCCTGCATTCTCACAGCGCGGATCATATCGGCCGCTATTCCCAATGCCCGCTGGAGCTCACTGTTCTGTTGTTGCAACTTGTCGTTTTCTCGTTCAAGTTGTGTCATCCGCGTCCCATCCTTCACGGTCATCGATGCTTGATCCGAATTCTCAGACAAGGCATAGTGAGAGAGAATCTCCGTATAGGCATCTCCTAGCTCGCGGTATAGGCTTTGGCATTTGCTGGCGATCTCGTTGCGGTCGTGCACAGCCTCCTGGCAAAGGACGTGAAGGCGTCGGTTCTCTCGGTCTACTTGCATTCGACTTCTTTTCTCTTCTTTTCGAATGGTGAGCAACTGGAGAATTGATGTACGACAATTTTGAATACATAGGCTTGCTTTGTAAAGCTCTACATTGGCTCGAGTAATGGCCTCGTCGGGGTGCTCTCTCATTGACATCCTAGAGAACCACTTAAGCACTGTCGTATGGGTGATTCTGCGCGACTCACACTTCTCTGCTGTATTGATGCTGTAAATCTGTATCTAGAAACTGTGGATGACCGGAAAGGCAGACTAATCATCTGCTGGTGGATCTGTGGGAGTGCCCGCTTTCTTGATCCCGAAACGAAGCCCTCACGGCATTTGCCATCCATGAACTGGAAACCAGGGCTGGCCTACTAAATATAGAATATAGTGCCACGCCATATTGCATGCACAGCGGACAGCTTTCGACATACCTCCTGTTTTTGGCAACACATCATCGGCACAGCCCAGACGACGTTGAACAGACCGCATGAACATGGCCATGCCTAGTCAGACAAGTATAACATAGATCAAGCGGGTAGGTAGGCTGTTGCTGCTGTCCAGTACATCTTGGGCCACCAATGGGTCGTATCCCTATACCATTCCGGCTGTCCTAGGGATGATCGCTCACGGCGCTTACTGGCACTTTGGCGATAGCGCCTGCAGTTCTTTCTTCACTGATAAAGGTGTCTTCAAGGAATACGTTCAGCTGTTTCTCAACAGGTCCCTACTATCCGAGAGTACTTGCACAGCAATGAGTCTAAGCTGCGGGGATTCCTGACGCAAGGGGTTTTCCCGCCTCATTACTGAATCGTTAGCTAGCATTGAATTGTCGAAGACTAGCTGAAAGTCAACGCCCTTAGGAGGGCGCAGGGAGTTTATGCAAAGATGATCTTTGGCACCACGCATAATCCTGTAGACTTTGCAAGCAAGGAGGAGGTGAGTACGATTACTTGGCACACTGCGACGTAGAGTCAGACGATAGAACCGCTGGAGAAGGCGGATGAGTCGAGGACGTCTATAAATGAAGTACAAAGAACGCATGATGAGATTCGCGATACCAAACTCTTTCCAATATCTAGACTTATCCAGGCGGGACTGTCTACCAGTAGCTCTACAAACCATGCTGCCAGAATCAGAGGTGACAGACATGGTAAGCTACAGATTGTGAAGAACGCTATGGAACTGATAACAGTGCAGCTCCATGATGCATTCATTCGTATCGATCGCGACGTTCAGCAGAGCTGGCTTCCGGTTCGTACAACTTTGCAACACTTTTACAGCCAGCTTCGCGATGCCACGGGTGAACTAGTTTCTCAAGTAGCGCAGCTTCACGAGGCCAATGCTGCGCTCGCCAGGAACAATGAGAGTTTGCTTAGGGAGATAGAAACGCTCCATCTCACGATCGACCCGGACTATCTTGCACAGGCTTCCGAGACTCAATCGTCGCCTACATCAACTGCGGGGTTGCAGAGGGTGGGACCTACCCTGCGTCCTCGAAACGGACGAAATCGCCCCCGCCAAGTTTTACCAAAAATTCCGGAAGGCGGGCCGGGAGAGCCAGTAAAAGCTACCGAAAGCCTTGAGCAGAGTAAACAGCTGCTCGATGGAGAAACAGACGTGAGCATATACAATCGGATACAATCCGAGGTCCTAGATTAGGATTGTATGATTAGTCATCCCAAAAGTACGGATTGAGCTTGGAATGTGTTAGATTGAATAAAGTAGGGTATATACCTAAGTATAGCCGGGGGCCTTATTTTAGTCTCTATTGAGGCATGATTTCTGCCTAAGGCCCAAACGTTAGCCTTAGGCCTTAATACTGAAGCCTTAGGCCTAAAGGATGCCTAAATATAGCCTAAAATAAGGCCCCCGGCTATACTTAGGACTACGATTTGTGGACTCGGATTCTCCAGTCCCTCACCGGCGCTATTGATACTTGTGTTGAGAATTATAATTAGCAACTGTCGTCGATCTACCGCAGTCGTATCTGCACTGAATCCATCTTCTCATCATAGGGTCTAGGTTTTACGATAGGCTGCTTCTGGGTGGAAGTCGCTAGGCTGGCGATGCTTAAAGGTGTAGTGCGGTATGATCCGGCACTAGTGCAGACATGCTAGCCCGGGGTAAAGCCGCTCTTGGCAGCAAGTTGTTGCCAAGAGCAGCCCCACCCCGGGCGCTACTTTGTATTACGAACAAGGGAACCGGAAGGAGTGACTTCGTTACAGTACTGTTGCCAGGACACTCCTTGCCGGACCAGCACTCCGATTGCCCAGTGGAGCAGGGATCCTGTAGACTGTCCATCAGCTACGCTCCGCGCCAGAGCATGCCTGAAACCAAGCTGTGGACGGACGTCTTGACCCTTGATAGACTCGCAGACTGGCGGCTGGTGTGCGACAAAGCAGCACTGGCACTAATTACTGATCGTCGTATACGGGATCAAAAATAAGTTTTCCTGCCTCCCAACCTGGCATTCCGATTCAAGATATGCCATTTTCGACCAGAGAATCTTTAATCTTAACATACCTTCATCGCATAGGTATCCCAGCGTGAGTAGGGATCGGAACCTAACATCCATGCTGGACTCGTTGGATTGCTTCGATGTATGGGTGCATGGATTGCCGCCAAGAGCTTCGAGGATTTTGACAAGCTGAAAATTATCATGTTAATATATGAGGCTTTGTATAGGCAACTGGCTTGCGACCTAGGTCACATATCTCCAGGTTGGCAGATCACATTGATGATATTTTGGTACCGAGCACGTGGAATGATTTCATAAGTCGAAGTATCATTCGTCACGGGATTTAGCAAAGCACTAATCTTTAGCAGCTACATATACGGTATTCACAGCAGAGCGGCTCTAAAGGTGTCCAGAAGCATGCTCACAAACGTTCTCTCGTATCATGAGGTCATGCCAGCGTACTTGGACTTTATTTTAGCATTCGGGTTGAAGTACGAACCAGATGATCTCAAATTCAGTGCCTTCATGGAGCAGACTACTCTATCAGCACCACGTGGACCTGTCACAACAGAGCTAGGCCGAAGCGGACGGCAGTTCCAGCTATGTTACAATCTACGGACCGCGACCAAGAAATCTGAGGAGAACGGCTTGGGTAATCATCAGGAATGGTCCATCCAACCAGCTGCAATCCACCATCAGTTTGATGTAATCGAAGGCACTACCCTCTGGATAGTCACAAAAGGGGGTCGCGATTTATACCACCGTTATAAGGATTTCACTGCATCAAGCGTTCGGCCAAGTGGCTTGGCTTTCACATCACCAGAAGAGTGCCTGCGATCGAGCCTCTCAACACATCTAATGTTCTGTCGTTGGGCTACGGAGGGATGGCGATGGTTCTTGAAGTGGCTTGAAATGACTGTTGAGGAAGAGGTAGGGCAAAGTACTCGCAGACAAAGCCGCAGGAATCGTCATTGCATTGGAGACGAATGTGGATATCTTGACCTTACTTCGCGAATACTACTGTAAGCTGGTCAGCAGACATGATTATCCATCAGCCTTGATTTCGTACTTTCAGGGTGACTAATCATACAATCCTAATCCAAGCCCACGAATTGTATCCGATTGTATATGGAGAAGTTGCAGCCGCAGATATCTATATCAACCGGAGACAAGAGTGGTCAGAGTTGCAATGCTGCAATCCGAATCCATTCAAGCTCAATCTGAGCTCAAATTTTGAGCCTGTCGCAAGATGCACGTCCAAAGAGAGAGCGAGGTTAATGCTTGAATGTACGGTTCCACGGCTGTTGAAGAGCAATCGTCTCGCAAGTCGCTCGAGAATGACTCCGGAAACGTTGGCAACTAATTCCATTACATCACCGTCAGCATTCTGGACGAATGCATTCAGTACCTCGTAAACAGCTGGACTTCAGTCTATACAGCGTATGGCATCACAGAATACTTTTTGAACGAGGTCATGAATGGGGTCTACATCTAGATATTTTGACTGGTCTCGAGTTCCCCCATGTCAAGGAACCGTCTCGTTCAGCTCACTTAGCTAGGAGATCCACTTCTCGAAATGAATGCTATCATGGACAGATTCCTGCTTCGACAAGGATCAAGAAAAAGAAGACCTATTATCGAAAGCGAACTTTGTAGGCCAAATATCCTCTTCAAGTCTTGTGCTAGGGCTTAGACGATCTGAATTCGGATCAATTTCGTGAGACCGGAGTCGACGTATTGAGGGTTGCATTTGCATCTGTGCGAGGCAATATCAGCATTGCGTGGCTTTCCCGCATGTGAGCTGGATAATTACCTCGCGGATTGAGGAGACTGTCATCGCCGTCCAAGGGAGTCTCTGCAAACTACCCGACAAATCTCAAATGAAGAATTCATTTCCATGCTTGCATCGTGACGAATGGGACTGTTGCTGGTCCTGAGGCGAACGCGAAAAGAGTACCAACGATTTACCAAATGAATCTGCTCATTCCCCGCACAACGCGCACTGGTCGATCATCCTCTTTAACGGCGTCAGGGAAGCCATTAAACGATTCCCGCATTCGATAACTGAAGACTGTGAATGTCCATCCCTGCAAGTACATAGCGATAGCCCCATCTCTGATTCTTTCGTCGCCCCACGAAGGGAAGACCGAAAAGTCTACGGATCTCTATCCACCCAGGCTCTAGTTCGACTCGGACATGATATGCTAGCTTTGGAGTTATACGATAAAGAAGTTCCCCATCCCCCGTGTCAAAGGTCTTTAGTAAGGTGCAAGCCAGGGCTGTGCCCTCAGGGCAGAAGACAAGACGCCTAGGTTTGCATTGCATACATGTTAGAAGATGATCTTCGTAACGGGTAATGATTGATATCTCGTACTCGGTAGGCCCTCGAGAAATTGATCTGACAATTTGAGGTAAGAAATGGACCGTGGGAGCAGCCATGCTTGTCAGTAACTCGTTGTTAGCATGTAACTACTCGAAGCGTATGGTGAGACGAATCTATATAAGGTAGGCTTACCTGTCCACTACCCTTGCGTGATTGATCCTGACATTTCACACCACTCTCCTTGTGTAGACTGTTATCCACACCATCCAGTATAATGGTAGGAGACATGAATACACTGCACTGGTTGTGGTCCGGCCCATTTTTCTTCCCGGTGCTAAAGATAGCCGTAATGTGGAAGGGCGCTTAAGACGCTTCACACATTACGCCCCTGTCTATCCCTGCGCGTGCACTAGTCCATACTTCTCCCCGTGTGCCCCGGGCCCACGGAAAGCGGCCGTGGCGTCATCCATGCATCTATACCCTCCCATCCACCAAAGTGTACTTTCGGGACATACTGCAAGCTGCCAGGCTCACTTCGGACTGAACGCGACATATGCAGGCCTTGGATGTAGCAGAAAGATGAATGAGGGTAACCTAGAACAAGTCACGGGTAGAGAGTATAACGAGAATAACGAAATGTACACGACGGTCTCTACAACATATGTCTAAGGAAGATTGAGCTATAATCAAGCTGTGTTCGCGACGATCTAGTGCTTTTGCCCGTCTCCAGTTGAACTGTTAAACCCCTTGAACTGCATTGGTGATTTTGCTTCTAGAGCCTCGGCTTCGGATCTCTTTAGCCTCATCCGCTTCCCTCGGACAATGTCATCGCTTGCAACATCGCAGGAAATGGTTTTCCCATCATTAATCACCTCTTTGAACAGTACAAGCTCTTCGTCCAAAACCCTTTGGCGACGCAGTGGCCTGAGAGAATCAAGCCACCAGTGTGGAGATATCAGCGCGCTACTGAAATCAACAAGTTTTCTATCCAGGTAATTCCTCGCGTACAGGTCTACTGGGTATATTCCTAATCTCCTCAGTTCGTGTAGATCTCGCTCCATTCCTTCTGCATTAACAATGGCCTCCTTGGACTCTACGAGCTCTTTCACCAAAGCTCGGAACGGTGGCTTCTCCCGCCAGCTCTTGTCTTCATCTTCTTCTGGCCAGTCCCAGTCTCGAATCCCGAATTGCTCGCTGAAAATTTCCCCATACTGCTCTGCTGAGAGATAAAGATAGCCGTGGCAGGGCACAGCTAGTCGGTGTCGATGTTCCCGATGTTGCCGCCTCTCGTCTCTTGTTCGTTTTCTTTCCTGCTCTTGCTCATGGGTTTGCAACTTTCCGTATGCTCTACACTCTGCAAAAAATGGATCAGAGTAATAAGCGATTATCTCATCGCTTGCCTTGACCTTATCGGTAGGAAATACTGAAGAGCGTTCGTGCTCGACACTGAAGAACTTGAACTAGACGCATATTAGGCCTGAACGATATAGTCGTGATCAACTATGCGCGTATGTACCTACCACCTTCAGTGCATACTTCTTCTTACCTATGCGAACTTTGAAGACATAGCTGTGGCTTCCTTCGGCTCCTTCAGATCCGTCCAAGCGCGGCGACGAACTGAGAAGCTTTATGAAGTGGATAGCAAGCCCCCCTCTCTTGAACGCTGACAGGTTTGGTCCTTCGCAGGGTGGCAATGGTCTTCTAAGGCTATGTGGAAGTTGCGAGCGCGCCAACAACATATCGTAGCGAATTTTGAGGTCTTCTCGTTTTGAGGTTCTGGAATACAAACAAGCATAGGCGGCAGCACCTAGGCCAACAGGCATGAGGCGTTTCCAGGGATATCTACCACTATAGGACCCCTGTTTTAGTGCATTACTCCAAGGGATGTGCTAAATCCGCCCCAAAAATTCGCCTTGCTCGTGGATAAGATCAGCATCAGCTAGGCGGCAATGTTACCTAGTCATTCTCTCCGTGTGGGGTGCCGACGAACGTACCTTGCATTGTTAGTCTTGACCTAGGACACGATCAGGACAGTATCTTTATAAGACCAGGTGTGAAATTGAATACCGGTCTGGACGAAAGAAAACAAAGAATGGGAACTTGAAAACGGACGTTCCCGCGTCAGTCTCGCATTAGCATTGCACCAAGATGAGAGATTCTCAAGCATGAATTTCATAATTTAATAGGCATATCTCATTTCGTTAGCCGAACACGCAGTCCGAAATTTCACGTGTCTGAGTGTTAAGCAAAGCAAACGTTCCAGCTGCCCTGCAGACTCATGCTGAGGAACTGACAGCCCTGTTCAGATATACCGCGAGGTAAACTAAAGTGCTTCAGGAACTGAACTGTTTGTTTTATAGGATATTGACATGAGAAATCGAGGCTCTTACCCAACCGCAAGACGGCCCCAATGATGCTAAAATCGTCTTGAGCGCCCTTCCACATTACGGCGATCTTTAGTACCAGGAAGAAAAATGGGCCGGACCACAACCAGTACAGTGTATTTATGTCTGCTATGATTATGAGACAGCAACAGACATCGAGCGCATCATCTCCGAGATAGACTCCTGTCGAGAACAGCTGCATACGACGACCCTAGAGAGACTGGTATTGCGACTCGATCCAGCGAGCATCAGATATTGCAGTATTCCCCGGCGTGAAT